TCAGTCTAGTAGGGAGGTGGTCAACTATGGAGGTTGTGCTATAGTTTTCAGGTACAAATTTTATTTTTTAGGTGGTAGTATCATGCTTGGAAATATTGAGAAAAGATGCTAGGAAGATCTCAACTCTTGATTTTATCCCTGAAATAAAGTAAATCCACATAGGCCTGGCTTTCTCACTCTAGTTCATTGATACAAGCGTATCAAATGCTTTGGTTACCCTGACATTCCATTCACCTCAAGAGACGTCTCTCGCTTTTGCTGTTATTCTCAATTCCCATTCCCAAATGCAGCAATTCTGTATCTCTCCATAAAAGCCAAAGGATTTTGCTCCTCTTGTCTATTACCCTTGACTTTAAGGATCTTTAAGATGAGTTTTGATTCTTTCTTAAAATTAGTGTCATTATTACAGACATGCTTAAAATATACTTTTTCCTTATTATTTCCCATTCTCAATAAAATTACACTTGTCCCACTGCATAAGTTTTCCAGACTACTAAATTTTAAATGATCTGGTTCTATCCTCCATAGAAATTACCTATTTGGTAGAAGCCACTGAATATTTAAATGTCAAAAATGGGATTTTTTGGACATTGCTAGCTGTCTTAAGCTTGAAAATAATAATGAAATAATAGCCATCAAATCAAGTATTTTCATTTAATCATTGAGGAAAAAAGAATATGCTTGTTGGACAGTGGAACTTCAAGTATGTAATATCTAAATGTAGTAAGCCAGTCTGTGTTTATGTTTTCCAGTATGGTGACATCTACAATTTCCCCATTCATGCCTTTGACAAGGCCTTGGAGCAACAGGATGCAGAAAGTGACTCTTCAGATGCAGAGGAAAGAGATGAAGATGATGATGAAGAAGTAAGTCTTGTTTTCTCAAACACACTTATAGAGAACTAGATGTATTTTTATATAATTTACAGACTATTGCCTTCAGTCCCCTAACCAAAAATAATTTATCTTTTGGGCGGCGCCTGTGGCTCAAAGGAGTAGGGCGCTGGCCACATATGCCAGAGGTGGTGGGTTCAAACCCAGCCCCGGCCAAAAACTGCAAAATAATAATCCTAATAATAATTTATCTTTTTTCCATAACAACATTAATTTTTAGTTTAGCAGTGGCTAGATGCTCTGTTTCTTCAGGCTTACCCAACAAATCATTTATAAATTCACAATTTCAGTCATATTTATTGACATTCTAAGATTTTTTTTCCTGCAGGTAACAAATTGTAAAGCTTTTCTTTTATATAGATTTTAAACAGTTAAAAGAAGGATGCTTTACCTCTTATGATTAAAATTAGGAATAAGAATAGTATGATAGCCTTAATGTGTTTTTAATTCAGAAGCATTAAATTTAGGAACAAATTTTGGTAGCCTAGTAAGTAGGCTCTGGTTCTCATTATGTTATTTATGTACTTATTTATCAAAGAATAAAATGAGATGTCAATGTCTAAACTGAATCTTCATTATGTATTTTGAACCTAACAGTTATATTTTATTTTAGGATGTGGGAAAAAGAGAATTTGTGGAAGATGATGAGGTAGATGAGAGTGACATAAGTGATTTTGAGGTGAGATTTATGGGTTAAAAAAAAAATTGTGCTGGTTTGGCGCCTTAGCACAGTGGTTACGGCGTCAGCCACATATACCAAGGCTGGTGGGTTCAAACCCAGCCC